TTCCAAGGACCCAAGTTGTCCAAAAGAGGGCTAAAATATTAACTTTAAATGTTGATAAATAAGTATGTATAAGAGTTCAACTATGAAAATTGAAGGTATCATTTCCAACCAGTATTCTTTTTTTTTTTAATTATCAGTATTTAAAAGGCAAGAAAGAAATAAAAAAACATAGGAAAACATAGTCAAATAGACAGCACCAAATAAGATTATTGAAACAAATTTAAATATGTCTATAATCACAAGAAAAGCTGGTGAACTAAACTTGCCAGATAAAAGGCAGGCAAAACCTAGCCATATGCTATTCATAAAAACCAAAACATAGAGATATGGAAAATTTTAAACTAAATTTTACCTCATTTTTACATATGGAAAAAGACTTCCAGGAAACTAATAAGCAAAAGGTAGCTAGAGTAGCTATATTTATTTCAGACAAAAGATATCCTCTGACCACAAGCACTATTAAGGATACATCATTACATGACGATAAAAAGAGTCAGTGCACCAACAAATTACTACAATTCTACAACTTATATGCCTCAAAACTAAAAAACAAACAACTACTGCTTGAACTACAGGAAGTAAGTGACAAATTATTGTCATAAGATGTGTATATTGATTGGAAGAGTTCAACATATTTTTCCCAAACGTGAAATAAGACAAGTAAACAAAAAAGCAATAGCAACTACAGCTTTGAAAGAATTTGAAAACACAACAAATAAGCTTGACTTACTGGACATATCTAGAACAGATCCAATAACTACAGAATGCACATTTTTCTCAAGCACAAAGGGAATATTTACAAAAATTAATGCAAAGCAAGTCTCTACATTTAAAAGAAATAGCACACAAGTCTCACTCTCTAAACACAAGAGAAGGCATAAACAAAAAGATAAACAAAAGGCCCTATATTTGAAAATTAAAGCAAAACTTCACAAAATGTGTCAAAGAAGACATCATAGTGGAAAATTTTAAATATTTGTAAATGAATAATAGAAACACCATATTTGAGCAGTGCCTGAATGGCTCAGTTGGTAAAGCATGCAACTTGAGCCCCACATTGGGGGTAGAGTCTACTTAAAATAAATAAATAAATAAGCCACATATGGTGAAATGAAAAAAAAAAAAAAAGAGGTAAATCTGGTGTCTGGAGTTGCGCGATCCGACTTAGGAGCTCGTCATTATCAGACCACTAGTTCATGAGTTCGAGCCCTGCATCGGGCTCTGTGCTGACAGCTTGGAGCCTGGAGCCTGGAGCCTGCTTCAGATTCTGTCTCTCTGTCTCTCTCTCTCTCTCTCTGCCCCTCCCCTGCTCATGCTGTTTCTCTCTCTCTCTCTCAAAAATAAATAAGCATTAAAAAAAATAAAAATAAAAAACAAAATGAAATTAAAAATTAAAAGAAAAAAGAAACACCACATTCAAAAACTTGTAGGCGTATGGCAAAAGCAGTAATTCATGAATATTTAAAGACTTAGATGCCTAATTTAGAAAAGAGGGGCACCTAGGTGGTTCAGTCATGATCGCAGGGCCATGGGATCGAGCCCCATGTTGAGCTTTGTGCTGAGCGTATAGAATGTTTAAGATTTTCTCTCTCTCTCTCCCTCTGCCCCTCTCCCCCATGTGCTCTCTAAAATAAAAAAAAAAAAGAGAGAGAGAGAGAGAGAGAGAGAGAGAGAAAATAAAGATGAAATCTAAGTATATACTTAAGAAGTTAGTAAAAAGAGGGGTGCCTGGGTGGCTCAGTCATTTAAGCATCTGACTCTTGATTTTGGCTCAGGTCATGATCTCACGGTTCATGAGATCGAGCCCTGAGTCAGGCTCTGCACTGGCAACACAGAGTCAGCTTGGAGTTCTCTCTGTCCCTCTCTCTGCCCGTCACATGGGCGCATGCATCCACTCTCTCTCGAAATTAAAAGAAACATTTTTTAAAAAAAAGAAAGGGGCGCCTGGGTGGCGCAGTCGGTTAAGCGTCCGACTTCAGCCAGGTCACGATCTCGCGGTCTGTGGGTTCGAGCCCCGCGTCAGGCTCTGGGCTGATGGCTCAGAGCCTGGAGCCTGTTTCCGATTCTGTGTCTCCCTCTCTCTCTGCCCCTCCCCCGTTCATGCTCTGTCTCTCTCTGTCCCAAAAATAAATAAAACGTTGAAAAAAAAAATTTTTTTTTAAATAAAAAAAAATAAAAAATAAAAAAATAAAAAGAAAAAAGAAAAAAAGAAGTTAGTAAAAAGAAAAAAAGATAAACAGAAAGTAAAGTAATAAAAAGGAGAGCCAAAATTAACTCAATAGAAAAACAAAGAGGCTAAGAAAGAAACGGTGCCCTAAGAACTGTCAGATTCCCTTAATCAGTAGTCTCAAACTTTATCTTGCAACAGAATCATGTGGAGGGCTTGTCAAAACATGGGTTGTTCAGAATCATCCCTGAAGTTTCTGATTCAGTAGGTCTAGGATGGGCCCAAGATTTTGCATTCTAACCAACTCCCAGGTGATGCTGATGCTGCTGGTCCAAAGATTAAACTTTAAGAACCACTGATCTAAGTTAATGTCTTTAAATCCTAACCAAATTAACCATAAAAGTACTTTTAACTCTACTCATAGAAGACAGATAACACATACGTATTTATTTACCTTCTCTCCACTCTGAGACTCTGCTAAAATGTAAACCTACATAATAATGAGACCAAGAGTCCATCAGCAGATAAGAAATCACAATAAAGTTCTGGAAGAAACCAAATGGAGTAATGGTAGCAAAGTCCATGATGAAGAAAACCACAACTTTATTGGAATCAAAAGTCTACTGAACTACTCATGATAAACTCTAAACAGGACCAGAATCAGTCTAGCATATGTGACATCAGACAAATAGAAAATCAAGGAGAAAAAAAAGAGAGAGAAAATAGCAAAAGAAAATTATCAGTGAAATACACAAGAAAATAATTTGGTTTCAATTAATTACCTTAGGATCTACTCAGAGAGATACATATATGAAGATGACAATTACAGAACAACAGTCAAGCTGAGTAGCTAGGAATATAAGGAAAGATTTTACAAACCAGTAGAACTTGACCTTGTTCTTAAAACCACCATATTTGTTATATGAGTGGCAAGAGTTTGGCTTTTTTTTTTTTAATAATTTTTTTAATGTT